CTGACCTTGGACTTCGAGGCTCCAGAACTGGGAGAAACCAACATCTGTTGTTTAATCCACCCCATCTATGATATTTTTTTATACCACCCAAGCAGACTAAAATCATGCTCATCCTTTAGAAGTTTTAACAGTCTGGGTGAAGAGAAGGGAGACTTTCTCCTTGAAGAAGGAAGAAGATTTAGGTGTTCAAAGCTTTCTCTCCAAATCTGGTTGAATTGTGATTAAGTTCAGGGAAAGGTGAAAAATTCATTCAGCTTCAATTATGTTTTCATCTCCTCTCTATTCCCTCGGGTCTGGGAGCTCCAGAAAACATTCCCAGAATGGGTGGGAAGAAGAGAGGGGAGGAGCTTTGCTAATAGCTCCCATGTTTTAGCATTTGCCTCTCTGTGCTGAGAAGTATCAGCATGGAACAGCTTTGGGATAGTGTGACAATGGAGATTAAATAAAGGATTCGCCATGTATTAGTTGTATGGCCTCCTTCAATTCATTTAGCCTCTCTCAGGCTCACTTTACTCATGTGTGCAGCTTACTATCTTTCTTGAAAGACTGATCTGTGAATTAAATGAATGTTGCTTCCCATATTGTCTTTCCTTTCATCTCTTAGGAAAGGTCTTTTTTTCAGGGTTTGGTTCCTACAGTGGGGTCATATGTATGGCCGGGGATTCAAGTGCACAGAAATGACACCTACCTGACAAGGGCCATTTATGGGCTCAGTGAGGGATGCAGGCTCCAAAGCTGAATTTCTTGGCCCTTGTTTGCTTTTGGGACACTGGGCAATTATCCAACTTGTATACATCTAAAAGCCACGGATGATGAATAGGCACACTTTTTAAGACATTTGATGTGTGACTGAGAATTCATAATTACTGCAGATTTTATCTGACACCTGTGAAGAATAATATCTGCAAGATATTGGTCACTGAGCTAGTCACTGAAGAGGGTGGGCTGGGTCAGGGAAGAAGGCCACAATGAAAGGGACCTAGGATTGCAGTCAAAAGAGTCGGCTTAGTAAGAACCCTGGAGTTTGTGCAGGGCCGTCGCTTACAGAGCTCCTGCACGTTGATCGTTCAGGTCACATTCCACTGTCTGGGTGACTCTGGGCCTTTGCAGGCCTTTTCCTCTCTAGACCTTAGTTGCTTTATCAAATGTTGTAAGAGTCGGACTTGATAGTGGTTTTCAAACATGTCACCTCAGTTTGTTCAGGCTGTTATAACAAAGTACCTTAGACTACATCATTTATAAATAATAGAAATTTATTTCTCCCAGCTCTGGAGGCTGGGAAATCCAAGATCAAGGCGCCAGCAGGTTCAGTGTCTGTTGAGGGTTACTATCTGCTTCAAGATGGTACCTTTTGCTGTGTCCTCACACGGTGGAAGGGACAAGGCAGCTGCCCTCAACCTCCTTTATAAGTCCACTAATCCTATTCAGGAGGACGGAATCCTCATGACTTACTTCCAAAAGGCCCTGCCTTTTAATGCTATCACATTTGGTATTAGTTTCCAGCATATGAATTTTGGAGGGACATCAACATTCAGGCCATAGCACATATATACAAGTGAAACTTTTTTGTTTTCCCCCAGATGTCTATGTAACAACTAATTCGTTAAAAACTGAGAAAAGTGGAGCTGCTTGGGTTGTAGCAGGGAAGGGTGTCTGTAACCTCTGTTTGGTGGATCCTAATAGATCCTCCATTCTAGTACCAAAGAACTCCACCCCCATATCCTCATGGCTGATAATAGTAACGATCACTATTCCAGCCTAGCGAGAGCTAAGCCCTTCACACACTTTAGCTCAGTTGATCCTCCCAACAGCCTGGTCCTCATAAAAGGTAAGTAGTTCACAGCAACTTAGAAACTCAGATCCTGGGCCTGCTATCTCCCCGCACCTCTGCCGTCACTCCTGTGGCCCAGGCCCCTTGCCCTGCCCCAGGTCCAGATTGGTAAAAAAAAAGAATGAAGTGTTTATCCCCAAGGGGATTAGAAAATGAAAGGTTTCTACTGGCTAAGTCTTCAGACCTTAATTAAGAGGGCAAGGGGGCAGGAGCTTGCTGGATCTGGGTTCCACCAAGGTGGAAGCTCATTACATAGTGGCTTGAAATGTGTGTGCCAGAACTCCCCTGCCCTCCGCCCCAGCCCCCAGCAACCACAAGGGAAGGTTTAACAGTGCAGATTTAAACAGGCATTCATTAGGCAACACGCCCATGTCTGCTTAATCACAGGCAGGAGAAAGAGCAAAATATTGGATCACACTATATGTGTCATAGCAAAAGCCAATGGTAGGCTTCAATACTTGCAAAGGCCGTTTTCTATTATAATAATGTGCAGCGTAGAAACCTGTGATTGGAAGGAAATTTTGGAGCATATAGAGGTCCTCCTCCCGCAGGACAAATTATACATCCATAAACAGTTATTTACTGAACACCTTCACATGCCAGCCACCGGGTTAGGTGCCTGCCGCTGAGCCAGATGCTAAAGACACAGAGGGAATGTCACTGAAAAATAAGCCCTTTGTGAATTTAGAAGACTGGTCCAATTGGCTAGGAAGCCTCTGCTTCGGCCACATCCTCTTGTACACCACAGACTCCAGTCTTTGCAAGATCTTTTATGAACTCCATCCAGGCCTTGGCATTCACAGTGTTAACTTGGACAAGTCTCTAAATACATGTCACACCATCCTCTCTGCAGAGTGCCACTGCTGTTTCTTTTATTATCTAAATTCTTTTCTTTCTGGACTCTGCTTCAGGTGCTACCCCTTCCAGGACACTTCCTGGCAGACATGGAGAGGAGTTGCCCATTCGATGGGCTTCCATCAATTCTGGGTGTGTGTACCCCAACACCTGATTCTGCTTACTGCATTTGTCCGTTTCCATGTCTCCTCCCAGCACATACTGAAATAACAAAGGTGCTCATGAAACATTTCAGGAGGGAATTGAGCTTCTCTGGGCCATAGTTACTTCTGTTCAGGTGCTCTATAAATGCGACTGTCTATCGAGCCCCTGCAGCTTTGATATTCTGCAGATCTCAGACTGAAGTAAGGGCTGCTGGGCAGATGCTGCTGCTGAGAGTTGGGTGGTCCCCTAGGAGGGTTCCAATCAAGTTTGAAGCACATGGATTTTTCTGGGGAAACCATGTGTAAGCCTGGATTACTTGTGCCCTGCGTAATCCTGGTTACTGCAGAGCTATTAGTACACTCTCCCTGAGAACATCTGGACTCTTAACGTTGTAGAAAGAGTAAACAAGTTTTGGGGCTAACCAGACATGGGGTCCAGTCTTGGGCCTATCATTTACGAGTTGTTTAACCTTGGACGAGGCATGCATATTTCTGGGTTTATTTCCTAATCTGTATTAGGAACATAAGTCAGGTCACCTACAGTGGTTGTGACGATTCATACAGTGTGAGCTACTGCATCCAGATTGGTGGGCGTATGCCTCAATATAATGAAAGGGAGATTCCATGTCTTATAAGTAGAAGCAGTGGCTCACCCTGATAGGGTGAATGGCGTGTGGTGGCCACAAAGCACAGGTGGCAAAAAAAAAAAAAAATTCATCTTTTACAGACTCCCACATTTTAGTTAAATACGCACAATTTTATTGATTGAAGAGATTAGGACGAAAACATTAAACCAAATACAGGACAAAGCACCAGAGGCCATAGATCCCCACCATGCATGTCACCAACCTCTCCTCCTACAAGGTACTTAAAAAATCGGGGGAGAGGGAAGAAATAAAGGTCCTTCTTGTTACAGCACCAACTTCAGAATGTAAAAAAAAAAAAAAAAAAAAAAAATTAAAAAAACAACAAAAAAACTTCTCTCCTTTATATCTTCCATTAGCAAAATAGAATCAAGGGCAAATCCATGGCTGCCTTGTCTTCTGGTTACGAAGGGTGAAGCTGCCCTCCTGAGAACGTGAGGACAGGCTCCCGCTGCGCAGGCATAAAGCATCCAAGAGTCTGCACATACATGCCACACACTATAATGAAGCACAGATTCAAGTAACATTTACATACTAGAGTCCACGTGTCACCTACCCAAAAACAGGACCATTTCACAAAACATATACAGGCAGTCAAATCCAAACAAGTGAGGTACTGGGAACACAAATATTTATGCCAAAAGAGTTCTGTATCATACAGCAATAGAAAAGCCGTAATAAAAAACATTTTGCCACTCAAAATCAAATAAAGCTATCTAGAAAAGCCAAGTAAAAGGTTATTTCAGAGACAGAAATACTCAAACAAGGAAAAAAAAATTATAAATGTTAACTACAGCATGTAATATGTCATCCCAAGTCAACCCGTAATTGAAGTACTGGCTTAATACATCACAATGTGACATTTTCCTTAATAAATAGAAGAGTTCTTGAAAATACAAAGGTGCGTATTGGGATAGAGAGCTGTTTTTATTTATATCATCATAGCTTTCAGCTAATTATCCTTCCCGCTTGTCTCTACTGAGGGTTTTTGTCCAAACCAGAGGGCCTTACAAGCCAAAAGGATCATTCTTCGTAAAGAAAACTAAATAGCTGCCCTGTATTTTATACATGTAGGACAACCTGCTTTGTTTCACTAGTTTCTAATAAAACAAAGACAAATGTTTAATTGTGATCAGAATGCTGCAAAAGCGTCAGACTCCAGGAGCTTGCTAAAATCTCAGGCCGTTGCTGTCATTCAGCAAAGAGGAACGCCTGTCACACAAACCCTCATCGTTCAAAAGCAAAACATGAAAAAGGAGTCGGATTTCTCTTTTCCTTTCTTCTTCCCTTTTCTTTCCCCCTTTAGACTAAGATAGCAGAAATGCATCTGGACGTTCAACTTCCAATAGCTTCCTGCCCATGAACCAACTGACACAAAACAGAATAGCTTGTTAAAGGACAGATTTTTTCCCCTTCAGGGAGCAAAGCATTAACATGTCATTTCCTGACCAGGATATTAAATAGTTTATTTAGAAGAAATGAGTTGAAGAGAGCGATTAAGAGACACAAACTAGACTTCTGTTTTCTTTTAGTGTAGCACCCAGGTTTCATGTCAGTCTGTGTGCACCGAATTTTTTTTTTTTTTTGTAAGTGAACCTCATTAATTACCAGCTAGGTGGTTGGCTTGCTTAAAAGAAAAAAAAAAAATTCTTGGCCAACTGCTCCTTCCCTGAATCCTAACAAGAAGTTAAATGCTAACAGTGCGATGCCAGGGTGTGTGTCTGAGGCAGAGAGTTTTGATTTTGTCAGGATCTGCAACTATTTTGGAACAAAATGAAAAGTGGGGTAGGCGGAAGTGGCCTAAGTGGCAAGGGGTGGTCTCCCAGGCGACATTAGGGAAGACAAGCTCCAGGGGGGGCTCCCATCCATCTGACCCCAACCCCCATCCCACACCTCTTGCCCCCATGCTACATGGTCGGTCAGCTCCTTGAAGGTTTTCCTTCTCTGAACCAAGAAACTGAAAAAAGTATGAGTGTCTTTCTTGCTACCCAGCCAGGCGATTTGTGTCCCCTGGAAGAACTCCTTTCCACTGCCCTCGCTCACTCCTGGTACCTGCTAAGTTTCTGGGGGGCATGAGCTCAGTTAAAGAAAGGGTCCAAGTTCTCTTCCATGTTGACATCTGGCACCAGCTGGTCAGACACTTCCTTAGCACCATATCCTGAATTCAAGACGCTAAAATCTGTAGAAAACCAAGGATGGTCCAGAATTTCCTGCGAGGTCAGCCGCTCTGAGGGCTCCCGCCGCAGAATGCTTCGGATGAGGCACTTGGCCTTGGGCGACAGAGTCTCTGGAATGTTGAACTGGCCACGCCGAATCTTGCTGAAGAGGGAGCTGGGTTCAATGTCATGGAAAGGGTACCGCCCCACCAACATGGTGTACAGCATCACCCCCAGGCTCCACACGTCGGCTGCTTTGCCCGAGTAGCTGCCACTGGTGTTCAAGATCTCTGGGCTTACGTAAGCGGGGCAGCCATGCTTGTCAGAGAGGGAATCGTCATCCCCCCGCAGAATGTAGGCATCTTCCAGGCTTTCCAGCTTGACCCGAGTCCTGCAAGAAAGGAGGAGAACATAAGCTCCTGAGGGCGCTCGGAGACCCATTACCACCAGCATCATAACATACCCCACTAGAGTGTTTCCAAAGGCTCCTCATTCACATTCATTCATTCATGCATTCATCTGACCGGCCAAGCATCACTAATGAGCACCTCCTAGCTGCCAGCCACTGTTCCAGGGCTGAGGACACCCACATGGGTGAACAAGGCTGAAAAGGTCTTTTTGCCCAGCTGAAAATCCACTGGGGAGCTCAAACCTTGGGCAACTTAGCAAACCATAAATCAATTATTATCAGCCCTATGAAAAGGGAACAGGAGACTAAGTAACTTTCTCAAAGTCACATTTGCCTAATGATAGGATACTACAGAATCCAAACTGAGACCTAACCAACCGGGAAACCCACTGCTATCTCTACAACTTTCGGCAGACTTCTAACTAACATGACAAAACGCAGTCCACAAAGACCTTTCACATTACTCGCAAGTGGCCTCACTACAGCCCTTTGTATTAGACATGCAGGATATTAATATCTCGTTTTACAGATTAGAGTATCGAGACTCGGAGAATTTGAGTAACGTCCCCAAACCTGTTAGCTGGGAAATGGAGAAGGCTTGATCCCACATCTTCCTAAGTTGACACTGCTTCTCCTTCTGCTATACCAGCTGCCTCTCTTTAAGACCAGGCAGGAAGCACGGGAAGTTCAGGCAGGAGTGGACTCTTATCATCTGGTCCTTCTGAGTCTGACACCCTCATATCAAGACCAGCTTCTTTCCCTATCTTGGCACAGTGGCTCAAACTTGTAATCCCAGCACTTTGGGAGGCCAAGGCTGGAGGATCACCTGAGGCCAGGAGTTCAAGATCTGGCCAACATGGTGAAACCTCGTCTCTACTAAAAATACAAAAACCTGCCGGGTGTGGTCGTGCACACCTGTAATCCCAGCTACTTGGGAGGCCGAGCAGGAGAATCACTTGAATCCGGGAGCCAGAGGTTGCAGTGAGCTGAGATCGCACTATTGCCTTCCAGCCTGGGTGACCGAGTAAGACTCTGTCTTGAAAAAACAAACAAACAAAAAACCATCTTCTTTCCCAGATTTCCTGCTGCCTCTGTCTTCTATCCTGCCCTTCACGCTCCAGGAGCCTGGTCCTTGACCAGGTTCTAACATCTGACTAAGGTCATCCACACCTTCTGCCTGTGCCACACATCCGTGATTCCAATTTCCCATGTGTCTGTGTGTGAGGGGTGTGTGTGAACAGAAGCATGAGCCCAAGACCCTTCTCTAGCTATCCATCCTACCCCCAGACTTCCCCTGCCATTTAAGGTCCATCGTGGATGCTGACGGGAAAGTAGGATTCTCCAGAGTATGCTCAAGAAAAGAGGTAAAGAAATCCTGCTTTAAACTCCCTGGAACCCGGCATGTATCCCTACACAGTAAGACCTGATGTCATCGTTGTGTATGAAATACAGCGCTCAGGAAATACTTCTGGAAATGAGTGGAATTCTTACCATTAGCTATACCTAATCTACTGTGAGGGCTGGGATGTACAGTGACTTGGTCAAGGCTACGGATGAAAGTCACTGAGAGCTTCCCCAAGCTCCTAGGCCAGCCTCATCTCCTTAGCCCAGGGGTGGGCCTCTTAAGAATTCCTGTTTTCCTGCCCTAATGTTCTTTGAGTGGGAAGTTAGGAATTGCTACCTTCCAGCGCTTGAAACTGAAATCTTCCTCCGACTCTCCTGACTAGGGCACTGCCTCACAGAACTCTAGGTATTTCTTGGGTCTCCTAAACTCAGTTGATCTATCCCATCATCACACCCATGGAGGCTTGCAGAGAGGTGAGCGGGGATAGAGAGGAGTTGGAGTTAGGATTAACACAACGTCTACAAGCGCTGTCTCACTCACGTCTCCTATTTCCTTCATCTCAAAAGTGTACACACAAAGCTTGTGACTCAAGTCTGTCTCCTGCTCTTTCTCTTCCTCCGTCTGCCTGAAGGTCTTAGCCTTTCAGCAGGATCACCACAGCCACCAAGAGTCACAGAAGGGGGGCAAGGTTGAAATTAACCAAAAGATTGCTGCTGGGAGCTCTCTAGCAAAAGGTTCGGTGAAAACCTGGGTTGATTCTAAGACAGCATATTCGGATTACAGGAGTACAAACCTCAAGGAGTGACTACTTCCTGCATTAATTTCCACCAACGAACAAACAGTAGCCATGCTCATGGGAACAGGCATTGGGCTAAGAGCTAGGAAGGCAATTTCCAGGCTAGGCTCCATCTCTCACCTGCTGTGTGGCTATGGCTGAGTCACTCAATCTCTCTGTTTTTCAGCCCTAAACGGAAGCACTGGACAAGGAATTTTTTTTTTTAAAGAAATTTATGTGGTAAAATAGACACAACATAAAATGTACCATCTTAAATCATTTTTAAGTGCACTTCATTGGCATTAAGTACATTTACACTGTTGTGTAAACATCTGAACAAGGCAATCTTAAAGTCTCTGCCAGTCTTACCATTCTGGGATTCTGTAATACCCGTCTCTCCTTTTTTTATGTGCTCACCCACATTCTGTTATTATCTATGTGATACATACTTTTCTGCACCTAATGTTCTACCAAAACAGGAAGAATCTACATGTGCTAATCTGGAACGGAGCTGATTACAAACAAATCTCTTTCGTCCTTTCGCTTTTTCTAATCTAAGGTGGCAGGTGGAACTGGCCCACAAGACTTGCTAGCTGTCGAGATGGGATGGAGGTGAAAAAGTGAAATCCAAGGGGTAGAGGAAGGGAGGAGGAAGGCGGAGGTCTCAAATCACAGGCAGGGTGAGTCCTCTCCACAGCTTCCTATACCCCATTCTCACCCAGTGCAAGCCAGATTCCTCACCCCCAGTTTCACTCTTTTAGCAGCAGAACAGCTATGCAAAGAATTACAACTGTGGAAATAATCGAAGAAAAGCAAGCTCTCTGTGTGATGAGGGAAGGTCCAGTGGAACAAGTGTGGATCTTGGAATCAGAGGGTCCAGGTTTTGCCCAGGTTCCTCTGCCCCGAACTTTCAATGTTGACTCAGTTCATCCAGGTAGAGGCCTAGGGCTTGGCCATGACTGCACGGTGACCACCCAGGGACTCTCAACCATCTCCTGGGTCACACTCCCTCTCTCTACATCCCGGTCTGTTTGCCGTTCCTCACCTGCCTGCTTGGCCCCAGTCCTTCTGAAGCCTTTGCCACAATGTGCTCCCTGCCCCACGGATTATGCTTCACCAACTGTGTGACAGCTCACTTTTGTCTCATCTCTAATGGAATGAAATTTATTAAACTTCATCCTGTCCATCCTATAATATGAAGCATGTCTCCTCCTTTTTCCACCAAGGGTGAGAGATATTGTACACTGACATTTCATGATTTACTATATGTCATTATGGTGATCATTTCAGGACGATCACCTTCCTTCTTACCTCCAAGAGCACATGGGCATGTGGCTCATGTCACTTTGCATCAAGAGAACAACACTTGTTTGCTGCTGTACCTTGAGCACCTAGACAAGTACCTGGCACAGAGCAGATATGCAGTCCAACAACGATAGGGACCGTCCTGCTGTTGACCCAGAGGGAGCTTCAGTGCGCTCACCAAGAAAGGAACAAGGGCCGATACTCTGCCTACCTCACCAGGGTTTAGTGGCAGTCAAGTGAGAGCTCTAGAGAGTATGGGCTTTGTACATGACAGCATCGAGGCGTCTCCCATGGTGATGGCGGTGGGCATAACAGACATCTCTCAGTAAGGGTGGGAGGTAAATATGATTTCAGGGACTTCTCCTGGCTCAGCCTTTGCAGGGTGCAGAGCTCACCACCTCAACTTTTTATGCCAGGCCAAATCTCAGGCCCTTTTCCACTCCTATCCCCTTCCAGGTCACAATTTTAGATTCTGACTTTCTCCTTCACCTCTTCCTGCCTCCAGGGGTTCTCACGTTCAAAGTATCCTAACCCTTCTTTCTGGAAGCCTCAGAAAATGGTTAAGGCCTCACTCTATCCACTGACACTGCCCCTCCCCTGATCTGGAGTTGAGCTTTCTCCTTTCCTACCTCAGATGAGCGCAACAGAATCTATGCCGATACTTGATGAATTGAGAATAAAATTAAAAGACTATTCCACATGCTGCCAAATACCAGCTGTCCCTACCTGTCCTAACCAACACTTCATGCTCTAATCCTTCAGAGGCTGAAATTTTAGTGGGGAGGGCCTGAGTCTGCTTGTCACATTTGGTTCAGCACATGCTGCAGACAGACAACCACAGAAACCAGCCCAAGTCAGAGAGCAAAGCAGTGTCCTGAGACACAGAGACCTGGGTTCAAGTTCAGGCCTTGAAAATGAAAAAGTACCAAATGTCAAATGTCACCTCTGTACCTAATACATGCAAGGCACTTACACGTATAGACTCTTTAAAGTTTAGAGGATCTATTGCCAAGGCAGGTACTATGACTTCTTTGGACAATGAGCCTAATTGCTCAGTCTGAGCAGGCTCCTATGGCTGGCAAGGTGAGGCAGTGGCTGGGTGCTCACCTTTCTCAGGCCTGACCGCATCTACGCAAGCAGCTAGTAAAGGAAACTGCCACAGGGCTGCTCAGTTCAGTAGGTTCCATCAAGGCAGGTAGCACATGTGTTTCCCCAGTGTCGGGGGAGAGCCAGTCCTTGGAGCAGGAGCCTGCTATTTCTCTAGGAGAGAATCTACATCCCAGGCGGGAGAGGAGCAAAAGCAAAGAGTAGCCCAGAGAAAGGATGGGGTGGAGATGCAGCCTTGCTGGCTTCGGCAGGTCATTCTTCTGACCTTGCTTCCTTCTCAGAACACTGTGAACTTGTTTACATCACTCCTAGGCAAGGGTCGAGGCAACTTAGGGTCGAGGCAACTGGTCTGGATTACGTCTTTAAACAAGGACCTTTCAAAATGCATGCCACGTGGGAGGACTGGAGGGAAGTCCGACGGGTGGGGGTGCATTGCAACTCTGGTCACTG